ATAAACGTATGTACAGTTACAATTAAAGTTCACATATAAGAATTACAAACATTAGATATTAACAAAGTTCAAAGTAATCATCCACTGCTACAGGTTCGTCGGAAAAGCACCTTGCGACGCACAAATTCAAAGTCTACAACAACACAACAAGATGAGACGATCTACTAAGACAGCTCCGGCAACTAAGGTCAACGTGAGTTCGTTCTACGAGACCAAAGCGAACTAAACTTCCCGCCAGAACTTCACTGCTTTTATAGGATTGAAGCTACATTGAACTCCACCAATCAGCATCTACCAGCTGTATAAGACGTCCGCCGATCGTCCGATGTTTCTTAACCAATCAGCGGTCGAGTTTTCAAAATGTTCTGATCGCCGTTCCCATGGCGACAACGGTCGTTCACGAAAAAGGCGGGAAAACCGCGCGCTAGACGATTTTCATTCCCGACAGTCACCATCAGGAGTTATTTTATAACGAATTTTTAGAACATTCAATCAAAGCATTTAAAAATTTGAAATAAACAGAAATTAATAACATTCACCGATTACATACTAAGATGATACAAATAACGACATCGAGATATATAAAAGACATAAATGAATAACACCAAAATACCTGACACTAAGACTAAACTTATACATACATTTTTAAGTATTATTTAGTATTGCTGCATATTTCTATTCTGGGGTTAGACATTTGTCGGGGTAAAATCGTCCGATATACGATTTCCCGCGCTTTTCCGGATTTTCAAACGAACTGCGGTTGTCACCATGGGAACACCGATCAGGCGACTTTGGAAACTCGACCGCGGATTGGCTGGAAGACATCGTATGACCAGTGGACGTCCGATAGCGCTACTAAGCGCTGATTGGTGAAATTCCATCTCCTTCAATCCGTATAAAAGGATTGAGTTTAGGCGGAAAGTTTAGTTCGCCTAGGACACATCAAGGGAACTCACGTTCGTCTAACTTCGCCTAAGTTGGCCTAGAACAGTGGTTCCCAACCTTTTTTCATTAGTGTACCCCGTGACATGTCATATCTCTAGATTGTACCCCTCATTTAAGAAATTTAGTGAGTAACCGTATTGTTAATTTTACATATTGTAACTTTAAATTAAAGAAAAAATGTATAATAAAGTTGTGATTGTTGCAAGGAACATTTTTTATCTAATAATTTTTTAATACTATTAGTTTGTGATACATAATATATTATTTTTTCTGCCATAATAACTAACTTTTTTCTGTACCCCTAAACAACCTATCGC